AAAAACATGCTGAGATTAATTAGAGTTACGAAATGGTCCATATGTGTGAGCGAATGGTGTGTGAGCGAATGGTGTGTGAGCGAATGGTGTGTGAGCGAATGGTGTGTGAGCGAATGGTGTGTGAGCGTGCTGCGTGATGGGTTGGCGCCCCCTCCTGGCCTGCCTCCTGGATAGGCTCCGGACCCCACACGACAAGTGGTTACAGATGATGGATGGATGGATCGAAATTCTCACGGGGGTTTCTATTCTTATTCTTTAGTTTGTTTGATTGTTTGTACCGCATCTCTAATATACTGTATAAGTGTATATCATCCTCAGTTAGAATTTTACTATTTAATAAATAGTTCAGGAAATGCTGACCTATAAAGATAGAATTTGATCCTGTTTTTGCCAGGCGAGTGTGGTTGTGGGTGTCCTGGGGTTAAAGTACATCTACACTCTTGGTGTCTAATCATTAACCCATTAAATGGCCAAGTTTAGATAGATGTGGTTTGTACTTTGCAGTGTATTTAATTCAGTATCAGTATCCATAAGTACAGAAAAGCCGGCCGTGTATCTTGACATTTTCTCAGGCGAACGTGGTCATTTAAAACCAGAGGAAGTAACATGTTTGACTTCTTGTCTTTACAGGACTCACAGTGGCTGATCTGGTCTTCCCCTGGTAAGTTCACACGCATCCATGTGCAATGAGGCGCGTGCATGTTTTGATTGGCATCTGCCCTGCCTCGGACTCTGCCCTCAGCAATCCCTCAGGCTGCTCTACACCTCTGTCGCAGGTTCGTCTTCATCATGGGAACGTCTATCGCGCTGTCGCTGAACTCTGCCCTGCGGCGGGGGTCAAGGCGCTCTGGGATTTTGGGCAAGGCCCTGTGGAGGAGCGTACAGCTGTTCGTACTGGGAGTGCTGGTCATCAACCCCAACTACTGCCAAGGACCCCGTGAGTGGCGTTGTGTAGAGTTACATCATCCGCACTATGCAAATTTCATACTCGTAGCCCCGCCCCCAATGTGATCATGTGTCCCGCAGTGTCCTGGGACACCCTGCGAATCCCTGGAGTCCTACAGCGCCTGTCCATCTCCTACTTGGCCGTGGTTGCCCTCAACCTCATGAGATTTGGCACCAGGACAGACGGCCAGGACTCGGTGAGAATCCGGCCCGACCCGCTCAACCGACAGAAAACAGGCCAACGGACTTAGACCCTCAGACATAAGTGTGATGTGACATTGGCAGATGGGTCATCACACATTGTCACCCCTCCCAGGATGGCCGCTGGTCCTCGCTGCAGGACATCCTGCCCTACTGGCCTGCGTGGCTTTGCGTGGTTGCCCTGGAAACCATCTGGCTGTGTCTCACCTTCCTGCTCCCTGTCCCCGATTGCCCGCTGTGAGTGACCCCTAGCCTGCCGGACCCTGGAGGCTCGTGTGTCGCATGTTACTGCATTGCATTAAGCGGAGGAAGGACACTGGCTTGTACCTGGAAGGGTGCCTGGTCAAGTCACCCAAAGGGTCCTGTGACAGTAGCCTTGAGTGCAATACTTGAATTTCCACAATTCAATATACAGCAATATAAATGGGTAAAATTATGCTTATTCGGGTGAAGACATCGGCTGTAAATGATTACTCAAATGATGATTAATAACCGTTTAATGCCTTATTTGGAAATCTTGCCAATAACATCAAGAGTACCCGAACACCAATGAATGTATCCATGGCAACTAGGGGTGTAACAGTTCATCAATTCTAATTGATACATTGATTGTCAATGGACTCTTAACAAAAATACATTCATATCATTAAACTTTGACAATATACCAAAACGCTGCTGCTGAGGAAAACATCTCTCAAACAAAGCAATCAAGAGACTCACCATGGGAGAGAACAGGGACCAATAGATTACAGTACATTTGATGTAGTTTAGTTCACCTGTGTTCCTCAGTTTTCAGAGAGTAAGCTATACATATCCAGAAATAGGTTTTCGGTTGTTAAAGTACAGATACGATACAGAATGTTTCTTTTGCAGACATTTTTTTTGTATTTTTGAGTAGGGTTGCAAAGGGGCAGAAAACTTCCAGAAACTTTCCATGGGAAGTTAAGCTAGGGAATTTTGGGAACATTCCAAATTGGAAACTTTCCAGGGGAGTTAACAGGAATATATAGGAAGTAACAGAAAACATTCCAAGGTTTTTGCAACCCTGTTTTTGAGACATGTATAGCTTTTTCAACAAATTCTGTTGTTAAAAATACAAAGTAGACATTTATTGATAAGTCTTTTTGAATTCAAAATCCACTAAAATCAGTTTGTTTAACTGTATTGAACATATGCATATTGATCATGTATTACTGAATCGAATGCAGTACCATTTCAAATATTGCCAGATTTCAAATTGCTTTGCAAAAACCGAAATCAAATCGTATCGTGGCATAGCTTCCGAATTATACCCCTACTGGCAACCATATATAAATCAAATATAAATGTTGTTTATATGCTGTTGTTCTGTCCCACCAGTGGTTACCTGGGCCCAGGGGGAATCGGTGACTTTGGCCAGTACCCAAACTGCACCGGAGGAGCGGCTGGTCTTATTGACCGCTGGCTTTTGGGGGAGAAGCATATCTACCAGACCCCATCGTCTCGGGTACGTGTCGGAGGGCAGGGGAGAGCAGGGAGACCCGCCTCCTCTTAGAAGCTCCTTCATTCCATACTCAGACATCATCTACCTATGTATAAGTGTCGTTAGAAATTAAAATTAAATGTTTTCAAAGGTTCTTTTATCGTCTCTAATAGCAGTCTGTCCATTGTTCTGCCTCTGACTGGAGGTGGACATTCCAGAATGAAGAAGTAGAAATCCAGACCAAGATTTTGTTTCAACCAACCAGTTGAGGATAAAGACTCACAATCCCAGAGAACTCAGTTGGTTGGTTGAAACAAAAAAAAATAAAAATCATGGTCTGGACTTTTCCTTTACGGAACTGGAATGTCCACCTCTGCCTCTGACAGCTTCCATCTCCTCTCCAGGTTCTGTACCAGTCCCAGATGCCGTACGACCCAGAGGGGGTGCTCGGAAGCATCAATTCTGTCGTGATGGCTTTCCTGGGCTTGCAGGTCCGTTCCGTGAACCTCGTCCCCGTCCTCAGCGAATGGGGACCTATGTCAAACAAGCATTTGCTTACTTTTGCATGGCTCAGTGAGTCGGGAACTTCGCATTTTCGGTGAATTCCCTCTTTTACTTCACTGCTAGGCTGGAAAGATCATTTTTCACTTCAAGGACCAGCACTCAAAAATCATGTCCAGGTTTGCCATATGGGGATTCATACTGGTATGTAAAACCGAGTGACGTTCTGGTCATCATGGGGTTTTGCCCCACATTGCAGTAGTCAGAAATAACCTCCACCCTCTCCCCCCCCCCTTACAGGGAATCATTTCAGCCATTTTGACAAAGTGCTCAAAAGAATATGGATTCATTCCCGTCAATAAGAATCTATGGTAACATCAATTGTGTTATATTTGTTCATTGCTCTATTATTTATAACGCATTATTATTTATTTGTATTACCATTTAAGAGATTGTATATGTAGCTATAAAGGACAAGTTAACCTAGTTAAAATCCCCATTGCACTGTGTATATTTACTGGTTGAAATTTTACCCAGAATGACATCAGTCTATATCAAGACCATTAAGTTGAATGACATCTTATCTCCCAAATTGCATGTTTTTGCTTAAGTGGTAATAACACTAATTATTTTAACCCCCCTTCCAAGTTTTGCATATAAAGTATAAAATCCTGTTAGTGATGGATTCTGGCGTTATCTGAACAGGCCTGTTGCTAGGCTACCGGAGAGCAAACACTTTGTACCGTGTTCCACTGTGTTCTGTCTTCCAGGTCTCTATCTTACATCACCACGCTCAGCTGCTTTGCCTTCGTGATTCTGTTCTTCGTCTATTACACGGTGGACGTGGTAAAGTTCTGGTCTGGGGCGCCCTTCTTTTACCCCGGTGAGGTCCGTTGCAGATCACATGTGATCTAAATCAGTGTTTCTCAACCGAATCATCAGGGATGCCCAGTCAGTCCACATTTTTGCTCCATCCCAGTTCCCTGCCAGACAGTGCACATTTTTGCTCCCTCCCAGTTCCCAACACACCTCAACCAAGTAATCAAGAACACTGGTACAGGTTTGCCAGGACCTAGGAGGGAGCAAAAATGTGCACTGTCTGAGGATGCCAGAGGACCGGGTTGAGGAACACTGATTGGATGTTTGAGCCACGGGGTCGTCTTTGTGCAGTTGTGGACTTGAGCAGTTGGTCTGTCCATTTGCAGGGATGAACTCCATCCTGGTGTATGTGGGCCACGAAGTCTTCCAGAGCTACTTCCCCTTCAGATGGAAAATGTGGAACAGTCAGTCACATGCAGAACATCTGACGCAGAACCTGGTGGCAACCTCCATATGGGTACTAATATCCTACCTGCTCTACAGGAAGAAAATCTTCTGGAAGATCTAGTCCACCATCCTGTGGAGTGGTAAAGGGGTGGGCCATGGGGTGAGTGGGTGTGACTTGGGCGGGGCTGTGAGGTGACTGGGGGCGGGGCTTGACCAAACTGCCAATGGTGCTGGCACTCAGAGCCAGCTATTGATCTTGGACACGTGGACATTTTGGATTATCTGGTTTAGTCATGGATTCCTACTGCATGCTATACATCTCAGCGGGACTGTTATTCCCACTGTGTTGTATTGCCTTATTGAGTTCCCCCTTAAGTGCTCTGTCAATAAGGGTTCACCACTGAGGTCCAGCCAGCCTTGTCACCTGTGGATCGCTTTACCACACGAATATGGACTGCTGCGATCTGTTTTGCAGTTTCTGAGAGGGTCCTGTTCTTCAGCTGGTTCACTGGAGAAGCAGAGGGGTTTGCCAAGGACCAAACCGACACATTTAAGTGCCTTTTTCCTTTGCTGTTGGAAGAGTTTAGGGCAGCTGTGAAAAATGTAATTACTGGTGCGCTGCCAAAATGGACTTTTCATAAGAAAATGCAGTCATCCCACGTGCATGGTTTACATAAGGGAAAAAAGAACAGTTTAATGTTAAAAAAAAAAAAAACGTCTGCTTGAACCGTCTAAAAATATTTCCTTGTGTACCAGCCTGGAACTGTATATTTGGCGGTATTGGGTGGAATTGTTTTCTTTTTAGGACTTTTCAATGTTATGCATAGTAATCATCTCGTTTGTCTCAGTCCTTCATAAAACCAATGAAATTTCGTGTCCTACAGATGCCAAAAAGGAGCGAATGTCCAGATGAGTCACGGTTTCATTACAAATGTATTTAATTGTAACTATACAGAAACGTTGTAATCATGTGGCTAGAAACTGTAGACGCTACATTTTAGTAATGTTCGTGTAAATAACTTGTATTGTTTTAACACTACACGTGCGTTTTCATGGATGAAACGCAATGATTAATTTTCTAGGGTCTCTTGAAATTTGGTATAATATAAAAATGTATTTCTGATGTTCTGTCGCATTATTTTGAATAATAAAATGTATTTCAAATTAGAAATGTAACTTTGGAATGACTGATGTCAGTCATTGTCATTGTATTTTTCGTCTTTTTATTCAAGATTATATAACATTTTTTGAAAGGTGGTTTTGAAAAATATCAGCAGGGTTGTAAAATGCGGTAAACTTGAGTGAGATTTTCTATTCCAGAGTATGCACACACATGCACATGCATCTACATATATGTAACAGTTTTATTACCTTGTAAAAAAGTCAGTGGGGTTCGCAAAGTACACCAACGTTTTGATATAGCCTAGCTGATTTTAGGTTTTTAACAGATTTGCCGTAAGATGTCTTGCGTGAATGTTAGTCTAAAAGCGCGAGTGTCACACCAGATGCGTGAAAGCTGGCAACCCCGTGTCTATAAGTTACAGAAAATAGACCACCTGTGACCACTTGCAAACCGAATTATGGAAGAAGTGTCCTCAATCAAATACTTAATCAGCAAGTGTAAATATATTACGTCGCCATATTCCACTTTGAATGTCATATTTAAAAAAATCATAACTAACCTTGAAAATGTTTGTGAAACTACACGTGAATGGGAATGAAATCTTGGGCCGATTTGGGGGCAAAGACCCCAGCTTTCGAGATTTGCTGTGATCTGGGAGAAAGGTGTTACGCTCCTTTTAAATTTGCCTAGCCCCCTAATCTGCGCGTGCGTGACAGAAAGCGGAAGTCGACTGTCACTAAAGGCACGCCTGCACACGTAACACTTCTACGGTGCTCTTGTGGACCGGGTCCGAAACGCAGGTGGTTAAAGTGATGGCGACGTGAAAGGGGGTGCGTTAGTGCGAGCACAGGACGTCGGAGCGCAACCAACCGCCCGCAGACATGATGGCAGAGTGCGATCCCAGCGAGAGCGGCTCGGGGGACAAGCCCAGCCCCAGCACCAGTCCGGGTCACATCCAGCCGGCGCTCTCTGACAGGACGGGGACCGGGGCCGTGCAGGCACCGAGGGGGAACCCGGGATGCGCCGTTCGTGTGTCGGACTCTACCGAGAGCGTCCTCGTCGAGCTGGATGGCGAAGGATCCGGCGAGGAGGAATTGCTGCTGCCTGGACCGGCGGGCAGCTTGTCGCCCAGGAGCGGCAAAGAGAAACGAGTGCGGCGCAGCCGCCGGAGCTCCTCCTCCGATAAGGACACTTTGGCTTCGCCAGGTAAGAACCTGAGAGATCGGCTTAAACACAGTGCGTGCCACGCCATTACTAATCTGCTGCTGTCTTTGTGCAGTAATCAGCATGCAGTTGTCACACTGGGAAAAGGTGCAAGCTTCCTAAAACGACCACATTGCTTCACCACCAGCTGTGCGGTTACTACTGAGTAGATGCTGTCCTAACTTTACATCTCAGTCAGCCCGGAGTCTCTCTGAAAAGCGAAATGTTTCGTACAGTAAAAGGGAGACGGCTGATGGTCTCTGTTGGTACCGCATGCAACCTCCCCCCCCCCCTCTCCAGTCCGCAGGCGATTTTAATGCTTCATGCAGAAAAATGCAGCGCGCGCCATGCATGCACACTGACGGAAGCTGACAGAAAGTTATTCCACATATCCGTAGGTAAACATAAGCTGTTCCCAGTTTGCACTGGCATAATACCACACACGTTATTAAATAACAATGTCAGGTTGCCCAACCAGTTTTTCAGGACCTATAAGGGGTCCACTCTTCAAATAACTTGATGCCTCTGTAACCTCAATGGCAATGCCTAGATGCCTTTAAGAGAGATTTCAAGGGCCACATAAACAAATCAGGCTTTCGTTACTTTATTGTGGGCTACAGGTAGACAAATCCTTTGGTCTTTCCCCCATGAACCATTCATAAATGCCAACTGAGCACCTGTGGTTCAATAGAGGTCCTATATAATTGTTATAATTTTATAGGAGTGGGGTGGTTTGACTTGTCTTTGCAAATGTGAGCATGAATCCTCTGAGAATTTTAAAATGATGCCTTCTGTTTAGTAGAAAATGGATTCTGCATCTCCTTAACAGTATTTTGGCCCATGTGATTCAAACTGTTAGCCAAGCTCTGTCCTTACTTTTGGTCTAATTTTATAAGTATGTAAATTACTCTTTGTGTGTGTCCTGTGATAGATGATGCCCCATCCAGGGTGTCCCCTACTTTGCCCTCTGTGCTACCTGTGATCCAGGCTTACTGTGACCTTGGATAAGTGGATGGAGATTGGATTGGATGTAGTTCACTTGAAATCCCCCCCCTCAAACCCCCTTCTCATTTCTTCTCGGGTGCATTGTGAGATGTGGGGGTATTGAACTTTTTTTTCTGTTTTTGGGTTTTGAGGTCACCTACTTAAAAGGTGTGTGTCTGCAGATCGATGTGCTGTGAAAAACAGTGAATGTATGAGCCTTTAGGTGACTGCATAGCAGAGATGAGGAGGGGGAAAAGCATTAAAACATTGTTAAATGCAAACCTTGGAAAAGACTGGTGAAGGGACTGGCAGTACTGGGAGCTCTGGTACTGTCAGCTTTCGGCACAGCTTTGTAAACGCGGTGTTCCTGGTGAGGCGTCGGTGGACAATCTCCGAGAGCCCGTCTCGCATGTGTTCCCGAACCGCGGCGCTTTCCAGAAACTGCTGTCGATTGAACCCGATCCGTTTGCCTGTTTATGTAACGCTCTCTCCTTTTCACGGAAGCGCCCAGTTTGAATTTCCGCCGCCGTGATCGGAGCCCGTCTCACTGGCCGGGATTTTTCCTCATCGCTGTTCTTTTAAGATCTGGGATTAAAGATTTAAGATTTGTAATCTGCCCGAGATCGTATTTCCGCTCTCGTAGCTACGCCTAATGTTGCCGGATGTTCAGTCATTGACCGCCGTGATGGACTGGTTACAAATCGGCCCCTGAACTGATATTAATGTTTAATGTCCATCTGATAAGGTCTCTCCTGCTAAAGTGCTAATGCACGGTCTGGCACCAGAGGCAGGATGAGGTTCTCCTGGCAAGAGAAGGTTCACGTTAGGTGTGGCAGCGATCACGTTGCGTTATGTGCGTAAGCTGTTTTGTATCGTCACCCAGGGATAGACATGTTCGTGTTTGTCATGCGGGTGTGAGCACAGCTTGCGCCTCAGGCCACTGTCTCCGGTAACCAGGGTTGCTTGTTGCTACTTGAAACACTGCAGTGCATTTCCTCTGCTCCCCCCCCCTCCCCCTTAATGTATGCCAGGCTCCCCAGTTCGTCCACAAACGTCAGGCCAGTCCGGCATTTTGTTTGTTTCCGTGAACCCAGAACATTTCCATTCTATCGCCTGTTCTGTTTGCCCTCCTCCTGAGGGACTTTGAGAAGCCTGACGCGTGAACTGTCGTGATCAGCATGGTGGCCTTGGCCCTAACCCCTGATAAATACCCTGGAAAACAAACACGGTGAACGCATTGTGTTCTTTCACCCGGCGGTAACGTTAAATGATTGAATCTCATTTTAATCTCTTAATCGTCGCAGAAGAACTTTGGTCGTCTGACGACTAATCGAGGTTGCTTGGTTTGAAAACAACGCTTTGTGCCGTCTCACAAAGTGACGCAATAAGTGCAGAGCGCACGGCCGCCGTAATCCAATCTAAAATCTCGCCGACGCAGGCAGCAGCACGGGAGAGTTCAACTTCTTTCCGGAGGACCCCGAGTTTGCGGCGATCGTACAGAGGGCGGAGCAGGCCGTCGAGAATGGCGTCTTCCCCGAGAGGATCTCGCAGGGTTCCAGCGGCAGCTACTTTGTGAAGGATCCTAAAGGGGTGAGGAGATTTACAGGCCCGCACCGAATCCCTTATAGGTGCACGAGAACACACACACACACACACACACACACACACACAGAGGCCTGTGTGCTTCATCAATCAAAAGTTTGTTGATCCACTGGAACTTGAGATGATTCTTGTTCTTTTTATCCCAACATCTTCCTTGGTATCATTTGTAGTAGCTTTCCAACTCTCTCTACACCATAAGGCATCATATCTTCACCTTCCTTGGACTAATTATGAAGTAAAGCCATCTGTCCTGTTCCTGCTTGATTCGAAACAGGGAGCCAACGCATCTATCAGATGGGATCTGCCTGGGGAAATTAGTCATAAACATCTGCTAGATGGCTGCATCTCTTGTGATGTGTTCCATTTCGAAGCTCTTGTAATGACTTTACACCCTCCTGTGTTCACACAGAAGATAATCGGCGTGTTTAAACCAAAATCCGAAGAACCTTACGGACACCTGAACCCCAAATGGACCAAATATTTCCACAAGGTGTGCTGCCCTTGCTGTTTCGGGCGAGGCTGCCTCGTCCCCAATCAGGGCTACCTCTCTGAGGCCGCTGCCTCGCTGGTCGACCAAAAGCTGGGCCTGGACATCGTGCCCAAAACGAAGGTGAGTACCGCTGAGTGACAAGGTCACCGCAAGGCCACGGAATGGAAAACATTAGCTCACTCGCGATTAAAATAAACAGCGCTCTTTCAGATTTGGTACATTAAACACTTCCTCATTAAATTTGCAAGAGGTCTTTTGGTGTGTGTCATTCTGGCATTGAATTTTTGAAATATATATGTCCGCTTGGCCGTTTAGGTGGTGTCTCTCGTCAGTGAGACGTTTCACTACTCGGCGATCGACCGAGCAAAGTCCAGGGGGAAGAAATATGCTTTAGAGAAGGTTCCCAAAGTCGGCAAACGATTTCACAGGGTTGGTCTGCCTCCTAAGGTGAGGAAGTGGTGCTCAGATGTTCCGCTATTTTTGGCTTCTGCGTTTTCTTTCGGAAGTAAAGGTGGTGGCAGTGTGTGGTTCAGTAGGATTGCAGTTTCCTCCTGTGATTTAAAAGGTTCCCAGGGTCAAATCCTAGGGTCAGCGGAATGGGGACCTTGAGCAAAGGCCTTTAGCCCCAAGTGACTGTCTGCTTTCTCCAGAAATGTATGTGTTTTTGGGTAAAACCATCTGTATCTCAATATAAAGAGAATAATTCTCAGCTGTACCCCTGCAGGTGGGCTCCTTCCAGCTGTTTGTGGAGGGCTACCAGGAAGCCGATTACTG